CTTCTCACAAGGTCAAATTTACCACAGCGTCAACACATGGAATAACATTACACAAGTCAGCATCGAAGGCCAACAATCTACCACAGCGTCAACACTCAAGGATACAATATACCACAGCGTCAACCACAAAGGACAAAATGTACCACAAAACCACAATCAGAACTTAAAAGGAAATACGAAACACAACAACGAATGAGAGGTCACGTGCTCCAGAAGAGTAAGTATGTTCTGCACCCCTTGTGACATCTGTATATTTTGTCAAACATAGTTTCTGACTTACAACGTTAACATGATATATATATACTATGGACATCTATTATTTTAAAAGATGACAGTGCGTGGTTGTCATTTGACCAGCAAAAGCAAGTCATGCATAGAATTTAAGTACACAGTCATCTTCACAGACACAATGACCCGTGTAGCGTTGAAATATCTGCCCTGTGGCTCTTTTTAAATCCGCAGTGATTAATAGTTCCTGGTACGAAGTCGAAGCCTTTCGAAGAGGTATGTCAAAATCGATGGTTTAACTGCCTCGCTTTGTCCATTTTTCAACTAGTGTCTTCAGATTATTATGGAATTTGTATGTATCCCCTTCGAGTGAAGGGAGTCATATTGTATTAGTACTGGTTCCTCTTCTTCTGTTTCTTGTTTTAATTGTTTTTCTAATCGCAATTTGTCCGGGCCATTACTTTTAAACCGTTAAAGATATCTTGATGAAACTTGAGGTATGCCTGCATCACCCACAGAAGGAGTGCAGTGCACTGGAATTAGGTCAAAGGTCAAAGTTCAAATAAGTGCAACATTTTCAGTAAATTCTTGTCTGGCCCGTAAATTTTAAACCGTTGAGGATATCTTAATCAAACTTGAATTATACCTGCATCACCCACAGAAGGTGTGCAGTGCACTAGAAGTAGGTCTCGTGCTTCAATATATACAGAGTTATGGCCCTTTGTTTATTTTATATATCGAAGTTTGTCCACGGCATAACATATAAACCGTTAAAGATATATTGATCAAACTTTAAGTATACCTGCATCACCCACAGAAGGTGTGCAGTGCACTGGAACTAGTTCTCGTGCCCCACTAAATACAGAGTTATGGCNTCTCGTGCCCCACTATATACAGAGTTATGGCCCTTTGTTTATTTTTCAATACCGAAGTTTGTCCGGAGCACACGTTCAATGTTATTTCACCTACGTTGACCAAACTTGATATTTTTATATATCTTGGGAAGGATTTTTAAAACCGAAGTCTGTCCACCGCATCACTTCCATGTGTTTTCACCTAAGTTGACCAAACGTGCTATACTTGTGGATCTTGGGAAGTAGGAGTGTCGCATTCTAAAATCGGGTCTCGTGCCCCACTATATAAAGAGATATGGCCATTTGTTATTTTTTTTACCGAAGTTTGTCTGCAGCATAAGTTCCATGTTATTTCTCCAACGTTGACCATTGACCAAACTTGCTTTAAAAAAAACATAAGAAATAGTGGAACCAGATTGTAATCAGATGTGTGATAATTCTTATTTTTATTGATTGTGTCTATAGTACCATAGCTGCCGAAACGTAACCAAATTGTTAAGACAATTAGATATGAACCAGAATAGTTCCAAGGTTTAATGGTTTAGAGATTACACACCTTTATCTTGATGTGACCTTTCTATTCTTCCAAATATGTTTTTAAGCTAATAAGGGGAGACATATGATTTTGCGAACACAAAAACCAATTTCTAGTTTTATTTGGATTTAGGAATCTTTCCACACCTTACCGGGCGCCTTTGTATGTCGATAGCTTCGTGTATAGGAGCAGTGTCATGCTCTTCGTTCGTCTGCCTCTACCGTGCTTCGTTTTTGTGTGAAAAGAAATATCTTGTTTCTTTATTTATCTTCCCAATATTAGTTGTACGATCATACAAAATGTTCAAGACACGAGTTTTTGGCTTGCACAATTTCAAATGTCTGAGCAAACGTAGCTGAAAAAAATCTGTCATATTGTCAATCTATGTTGTTTTCTTCCCTCCTAACGCTGATATGGTATCACATCCACTTAAGACAGGTTAAGCTGATATATAATACTTGTTATATTGCAGGTATTAGTATATTTGAAGGATTATAAATATCAATATACGTGAAGTTGTCACATCTGAAGACAATACACATTTCCATCGCTACTGTCTTCAGTATACAACATTAAAAGGATCAAGGTCTGTGTCAACTGATAGCATATTTCATGAGTGTCCATTTTTGCTCAATCGACAAAATTTGCCGGCATTCTGGTATCTAATTTTTCGTTTGAACATTATTTAAGACACGCTTTCATTGTATAACTTATCAAGTCTATGTGAAGCATTATTTTGGTACTTCCAGAAGTTTCTTGGATAAGAACTCAGCGAGGGATTTTTTTGTTAAATGATATAATTTAGTGAAATGTTCGCTACCCTTGTCCGTATCTCATCATTGACCTCCCCCTTTGTTACTCGTATCAGCTTTCAGATTGCTTTTAGTGTACGTTCCATATCACATCTACACTGTGAACAGAGGCACTTGCCTTGTGCTGACATGGAAGGAAACCAGGTGTACTTTTTGTAAAGTTACCTGCATTAGTATTCTATAGGCTATCAAGGCTCAATGTTTTTATCCAATCAAGAAAACAGATTGTGTACTTTTAAGCTCTAAGGGGGCAGGCAATTTGGTTGAATAGCGGACAAAAAACCCATTCATCAACCGTTCTTGATAACTTCTTGAAAGTATAAAAATGCCCAAAATTTGTAACAGGACTTGATAAAGTGGTATCTACCGAAATCAACAATCTGGCACAATGACAGGTTTAGATTGGGTCCTTCAAACCCTCAAGAGATTATTCAGGACATGGGTTGCAGCATTTATGAATCCCTTACAGTAACTTCCCCTTATTTTCGTTTTGGGTATAACTGTAGCGTAATTGGGTCCGGACACTTCCATTGACCAGGCAGCCTAGTCGGTAAGAGCGATAGTATAACACTCTGAATGTTCGAATCCCGGTCTAGCCCAGCTGATTTTTAACACGCATACCAATATTGGTGATAATCTTTTATTTCATCTTTACTATTTTTCACAAAATTCCCACAAGGTATGGTTTCTTTTCAGAAATGATTTATCAAAGCTATGGTCATGTCGGAGAAAACAGTTTCCGAATTCGTAGTTACATTTTTGTTGTCAGTGATACGGGGATCCTTAACACCGACAGTAGTAATGCATCAACATACGGCAAACGCCTGGTTTGGAGGTAGAGATAACGGATATAAGGGATTCATAAATGCTGCAACTCATGTCCTGAATACTCCCTTGAGAGTTTGAGGGACCCCCTCTGAGTCTGTCATCGTGGCAGGTAATCAATATCGGTAGATACCACTTTATCAAGTCTGTGTTTTGGACATTTGTGTATTTTCAAAAAACTGTCAAAAAGGGTGGATGATTGCAATTTTGTTCGCTATTCAATCAAATTGTCTCTTTCACAGCTGCTATCGTCTTTGCGGTTTGATACTGTTTCTGGAGGCGCGTTCGGAAAAGTGCACAACCTTTTTTTTCTTGAATGGTTAAAAACTAACTAGACATTGGCCTTCCCATGAAAAGCTCCTCAGCAAAACTTTATATAATTCCTTCCAGTGTTATATTCCCGACAAACATTAACTAGTACAGAGTGAGCAGCAATGCGTTTGGTGTCCAACACCTTTAATCTGTACTTTCTTTTAACGGATTGAGAATCACAGCATTCACCTCTAAAATAAACGTGACATAATAGAAATCTTTCCGTTTGTTTATGTTGAGTATCGTTATATTTATTGTGTAGTTATTTGTCAACACTTCATTTACACAGGTTTATTTCGGGTCATAAATAATTCACCTACGGGGACAGTTTTGTATTTCAATTATTCCAAATGCAACTTTATTTTTTATTTATTTTTGAAATTCACCGGGTTTTATTTCGTTTGCGTATTGTATTGCTAATTCCGAAACTTTTCTTTCGTCCTATGGGTTACGTGTGTTGTCTGTTTATTGGTTGTCACACATTGAGAGCTAATAAACGTCCATGCTCCAGTGTCCATCAGGGTTATGTGGGAAATCCTCTTTGTCTTGGAACTCGGGAGTTTACCAGTTCAAGGACAAAGAACAGTTCATGATTTCCGAAACAAACCACCAAAGGTACATCTTCAGTTTCCAAAGAGTGGTGACATACACCAGGGCATCGAGTTTTAGCTTTAAGGAGTGACATCTAATACAGAAAATGTATCATCTCTCTTGACATTCCAACAATTTCATTGTCTGTAACAAGCTGGTCATTTTTTGTGCAGATGTAGTTACATTGAGAAATGATAAACCGACTGCAGTTATGGTGTGATATCGTTACAGTCAACATACACCTCAACTATCTCTCACCGAGAGGGATTGTCCCTCTGGAGAACACCAATATTTACCATTGATCTCTCTGAAGGCATAGGGCCTAGTATGGTCCACAGGGACCTGAGAATTTGTTGCAGCCATACTCGGACCTAAACTAAACTGAACTTTCGGTAAAAATGCCACCTCCAATGACGGTATCAAAAGTTTAAATAAACCTCCAGAACATATAAAATAGCTCTGAAAAACTTGGTTTAGTCACAATTATAGCTGTAACAAATTCTCAGGTCCCTGTGGCCTGGTTTCCCTCTCATAATTCTGCCCAGATTTACCCCATTAGGAGGCAATAGTCCCTAAAAGTTTGCATATTTTTTCTTCAGATTTACTCAAACGGAGCTCAACTGACTGTATGCATGAATTAACACTTTCTACTTTTTTCTGAGAAATGGTAACTACTCGCATTATATCAAACCAAAGGCTTAGTTCATTGATTGAACCGACTAGATTTGTTCCAAGTTTCTGTTTTAACTGTCAACCTGAGCAATTACCAGCCTGTTTGTCTCTAAGACTTTATATATTAATATATAACACTGATGAAAATAAAAAATAAAACTCTAATCAATTTATATAACTTTTTTATTAATTTTGGCAAATTATTTCATTTAGTGCAAAGAGCATATTTAAAAGTATACATAATCTACCTTAAAAAAAGAACTATATAACAGTACACATGAGAAGTATGTAAACAGTGTAGGGAACAAATCAACAAAGAGGAAGATGAAGGCCTACCTAATGACATCGCCAATCCTCCACACCACACAGAGATGAAGGCCTACCTAATGACATCGCCAATCTCTGCAGGACCAGCTCAGAATGTGTGGTAGTAAGGGGCGAGAAACAATGGGACAGAAACAGGTATAAAATAAGGGTTTAATTTCATAATATCATATTTCATCATAACGTAATAAACAAATGTAGCTATGCGACATGGGTAAAGAGTAATGATGATTTAAAAATAGACAGCATGTAGGAATAAAGCACCAGGTATCACAATACAGAAAAAGACCTAATCGCAAAACAAGACTATATTTCCTCTCTATATATAACGCAAGCCGATACAGCTTGATAGATCTTCAAACCGGGAATATCTTATGCAGAGTTAAGTCAGCGATATAAAACCCATAACGTATGGAAAATAACATTGAACAAGATACGGAGAAATATCGTCGTAAAGCAAGAACAGTAACAACACCGACCATCAGCTGACGATTTCTACTCCTTCTCATTTACTAGATATTGTACATACTGACCAATCCGGGAAAGAAGGAAGGGAAATATTAATGTTTAAAAATATAACATCCGATTCCTTTGAATTTTTATTACGTATTTGAGAATTGATAACCCAAACAGTGTTCGATAACTGAAATTAAAATCAACTTTCAAAAAATGATTTCTTATTCAAGCATAAACTTGCCTCATTATTTAACTGTATTTTTTCCTTCATAAACCTTGGACCTAGTCCTCAAAAAAAAATCCACCACTAGGCTTATTCCCAAATGCAGAAAGAGAAATTTCCAGATAAAATTCCGTGAGTAATACATTGTATATATCTAACGACAGAGGTGGGCTGATCACCAAGCACTAGATAATACAGGCAAAAAATGCAGGAACGTGAATATGACTCAAAACAAGATAATGCCACATGTATTACAAATCTTACACGAGTAACCAGTGGGTCCGTTTTACAAGAAATGATTAAAATTGGCAACTGTGACGTTAACTTGAATTTCAAACTGAAAGTAAATTTAAATATTTCAATAGGTGAAACTGGGAATGGCCATCGAATTGGAGAGTCAAAGGTTTATGGTGTTTCTATCACTTATCAGGTGAAAAGCTGCATGGTTTATTCAGATTTTTATAAAGTCACCATCTCAATGGCCTATTTGTTTGGTTTTTGTGGCCCCTGTTGCTGTTAAGGAGAGTTAAATAGGCCTGCAGTATGTAATAACTGATTCTACATGCATGGCCACCATACAATTCTATTACTTTCACTAAATTTGATATATTAACAAATATTTGTTATATTTAAACTTCCATTGGACTTTCGTAAGAAAAAGAAAATACTGATTCTACATGCATGGCCGCCATACAAAACTATTACTTTCACTAAACTTTATGCATAAACAAATATTTTTTTATGTTTAAACTTCCAACTTTCCTAAGAAAAAGAAAATACTGATTCTACATGCATGGCCACCATACAAAACTATTACTTTCACTAAATTTCATATATAAACAAACATTTTTTTTATATTTAAACTTCCAACTTTACTAAGAAAAAGAAAATAAATAAGTAAAATAATTTGATGTCAATCAGTTTGAACTTCTGGATATGAGCAACTTAAAAAAATATGTTTAAAAGAAGATATCCCAACACAAACCCAGCTTTATTGACGCATACACACTTCACCATGCATTTGAGCAAACACCTCCATTTAAAGCACTTAGTTGACAGCACATTACCAATAATAATGGACATATAAATATATGACACCAAACTTGCAGTAGTACTGGAGTCCTCAAATACTCCTTGAATACACACAACATCCTAGTGCACTGAATAACCCTACCTGACAACCCGGCCAAAGTACGCTGTGTTTTCAGTTACAATTCAACAACTTTCGCAATTCGCTTCCTTCATTGCCATTTCTTAGAATTCCCTACCCAATAATGACAGCCCGTGTACACGACCCTACATACCTGTAGATTGTCACATTCCATTATAGCTACCGAGATAGAGGCAATCCCCTTCTACCTGGGCTGCATCGGTCACCTGTTAAATTACCGTATCTCACCTAATAAACTCATCAATCCCTTAAAGTGACTCCTACATAGTGAGTTTTGTAGGATTTTTTTTAGGAAAGTTCTGAACATCATTTTCAAATGTTGATGGGTCCCTATTTTATTTGATATAGTGGATTTGAAAAATGTGGGTCCGTCAAAAATGGCACGAGACATGGACTCAAATATGTTTGTCCCAAAATCACTGCTCCATTTTTTCTGGTAAAATTATCCCATTCCTTCACTTAAATTTATGGGACTTGCTTAACAAAATGTGTTTTATGGGCATTTTTGAGATTTTGAAAGCTTCTTTTATTATTTTTATATGAAGTCCCAAATTGTTAAATACACAGGGCACTTAATACATTCAATATGGTAATACTCATTCCTTTAAGGTTAGTATTGATTGTCAATCTTATCAAATGGATATTTACCTACCTGTGCACAAATGAAATCAAAAACGTTTACCTGTCAATATTTTTTCTGGTTGCCCCGAGGAGTGGGGAAGGGTTTGTGTGTGTGAGGGACCCAGACAGTCAAAGTATAACACGGTAATAGTGGTTAGACTTTAGACACAGTACTATAGGAACAGCAGTAAAATGGTATAGATCTAGGAGAACAGCAGATTGGGTTTGATTGGTAGAGTAACACAGTACAACATCACTAGCCTTATGTAGGACTTTAATCCTTTCACCACTACAGACCATAATGGACTCATCCATATCAATGTATGGCAGAGTCTACTAAAGTTACATAGGGTTGAAAGGGTTAACTCACCTAAAAATCAAAAATACTTAATATTAATATTGCTAGCTTTATTGCAAAACACTGTTCTTGTTCAAGCACAGCAAACTCCACAATAGCCAATGGTCAAATTTGGTCAGGTCAGATTGGTGTATAAACTTGGTAAATGTGGTAATCAGAGGTCAATTAACTGGTATAAATCTGGTATTGGTCAATGGTCAGGTGATAATCTGGGGTCCTCTGATTGGTGTAAAGTAACCCTGGTATTGGTCAATGGTCAGGTGATATTCTGGGGTCCTCTGATTGGTGTAGAGTAACCCTGGTATTGGACAATGGTCAGGTGATATTCTGGGGTCCTCTTGATTGGTGTAAAGTAACCCTGGTATTGGTCAATGGTCAGGTGATATTTGATTGGATCAACTTTGGAAGTAGGCCTTGGTCATGATATTGGACATATTAACAAGCCAGTAATGGTTTTTGTCATGAGATGTTTGAGGTAATTTGATTGATATAAATAGCCATGATTATACAAAGTAACACCACTGATCAGGACACAGAGTATAACTGTTTCCAAAAGTAGAGTACAATGTTAGGAAATGACAGTCTACGAATGAGTTAAGGTAGCGCGTCCCAGCAATCCATGTTGTATCTCCAATCACGAAGAGTTCCAATTTGTTCGACATTTTGCTGACTTTAGCATTACTTGCCCATTTACTAAAGCAATGAGTAATATAACAAAAAATATATTTATCATAACTGTCTTTGTATAATTCTTGGGAAAACAATAAAATATATATACAATATGTAAATATTACTGTATACAGTAGGAAAATGGTGGGACACTCTACCTTAACAGTAAATGACACATGAAGGATACGTCTACAAACATGGCTTTGAAGCAAAATCATCTTCATACATTTACATATTTCTGGATTTATAATGAAGCAAAGTTTCAAGGACAAATATCAGGTCTTTTAAAAATAATACCATCTAGAAGTTGTTAAAAATAACTAACATTTAGTACATAAATCGTCATGAATATTAAAATTCACATCATAGTAAAAGAATGTTCAAGAAACTGACGTCAAAGACAATATTTAAAAGCTAAAATAGGCACATTTTGCAGTGAGATCTTTCTACCTCGGAAATATCAAGTAATAGGATCCGGTTCAGACTATAACCACTGAAAGTAAATAACTTAATTTTCATGAAAACTTTTTGTTTTGGAACTGCGGTTCACTTGAATTATCCACAACAATTTTGTTTTTGGGAGTGAAACATTGACAAACAATTATTCACTTGCCGTGATGGTGTCCAAACCTCGGTAATCACCTGTTTATAACTTCTGCTGTGAAATGAGAATGATTTGTTAAAACACCCCCTTCCATTCTGGACCTTCTCTTTATTAAATTTTGCATACAATTAATTTACTATGGTTAACACATGTATGTTAGGACTCCTATAAGCTGTGCTGCTTTTGGAATAGACTGAATTGAATTGAAATTGAAATTTGTTATACATCCCTCCCATTCAGAGCCTCCTATAGTATACTAAAGTATACTTTCCCTTTGCAACTTGTTAAAAACTCTCTAACGTATACAACAGCCACTTAAGACAATGGATACAGTATAATTAGCATCCTGTTGAGAAGTTTTTTTATATTTCTTATCTGATTAATTTTATTGATATTGAGCACACAAAAAAAAGGTTTTTCAAGGTAAAAAACCCCAAAGGAATTTTTAAGTTCCAAACTAGTGGACATTTAAGAAGGCAGATACGCTATACATTTAAATGGTTCTAAACAAACTATTCAAGGGATATTTGAAATAGTAATGCACTCTCCTTGTAACCTAAGTTTCACCAGGGCTCATCCTTACAGTACAGACATGTTACAAGTTATCAATGAAGCTATTAGGTAATAAGTTAATTTTGAGTAAAAAATGCACACACAATTAAGGTGTAATTATCCCCCCCATATATATATATATATATATAGTTTCTCTCATCTCTCTCTCTCCCTCTCTCACATATCACATATGCTTACACAATCAGACATATCTTAAATTTAACATGCTTATTTATCACATTTTCTAAGACAAAAACTATATGTAGCTAGAAATGTAACAGGCTATGTCCTTCCTATTTAATAGTCAACAGCTTCTTCCTTTGTTCAACTTTGATGTGTGCTTGCAGCATCAACAATAAGACGATAAAAAGTAAAATTTCTAGTATCAAGTGACATCAGGGAAATATCAGGACCATTTAAGACTGGTAAATATCATTAAATTCATTTAAATCCAGTAAAGTATCACAGAAAAATAAGTCTTTTGGTTGATTTTGTTTAATCTCTCCCTCTTAATCCTCTGGAACAGTGACCTTTAAGCATAACAGCTATATGTATAGGCTGTGTCACCTAGAGAGGCCAGAGAATTTTTCATACTCATACACAGATATAGCTTATGTACACCATGTCTCCAGGAGAAGAAAGAGAATCTCTTATACTTCTACCCAGATACAGCTTAATGTACACCATGTCTCCAGGAGAAGTTAGAGAATCTCTTATACTTCTACCCAGATACAGCTTAATGTACACCATGTC